TAGCCCCCTATTTCATTCTAAATTAGGTGGATCCATTAATAGGAGCAAGAAAAGCATGGTTATTCCCCTAGCAGCAGGATGCAGGAGGAGGAAGGTAGCCCTGCAGAAACATTTGTACTTTCCCCCTTTTACCCCCACAGAAGTGAACCCACAGGACAGCCTTCCCGTGGCTGTAAGTATCGCCTCTTAGTTGGCCCCCAGGCAGTGGTTTCTGTGTCCCAAGGCAGCTGTGCGAGCCCAGGAGGGTCGCTGCAGGGGACAGGGTCTCAGCTGGGGGCAGAGCTGCCTGAGCCCCCGCTGAAGCTACCAGATAAAGTTGGGCTTGATTTTACTTGCAGTCCTCCGTGAGCCGGATCAGCTTTAGAGTGGGATGCACAAAGCAAAGCCCTGAAAGGTTTTTGGCAGATCTCTCCTGCAGGTGCACAGAGGAAGCACAGGGACTTTACTCAGGCTGGCCTTAGAGCTTAGCAGGTGCTTTTGGCAGGACACTCGTGCTGCTGGAACCATGACCCCTCCGTGAGCCCCACCTGTCTGTGACAACCCGGTGCCATCAGCTGCCTGCCGCCTCATGAAAATCACATTCCCTTAAACCAGGTCCTGCTGTGGTTGAACCAGAGGCATGATGGCCAGTGTCCTGGGGCTTTTGGTGTGTTTAAATTCAGCCTGCCAGTGTGAGGCACCCACAGCTCCCTATGGACAAGGCTTCCCTGAGTGGCTGCCCAGGCTCCCCCGCTCAGGTACCCTGCAGAGCTGACCCCCGGCCGTTCTCCCATGGCTCCCAACTCATGACCAAGCCTCCTGCAGCCAAAGTTACGTTTTTAAGAACCCGTTGAGTCTCAGCCAAGCTATAGAGATTAAAACGGATAAAGGCTCTTAGGAATGTAAACAGCATAGAGAAATCCTAATCCACGCGGCACAATGTTATTCAAAAAGAAAAAAAAAATATTCTAGCCAGAGGTGGTAAATCGTCCTCGCTTCCCGAGCATGCCAAGCCTGGGACCCCACGTGCGGCCTTCTGCCGGCGGAGCTCCAGGCCTCGTCCCAGAGGAGGAGCCCACGGGAGGCTCGGTGCCGGTGCTGCTACCCTGGCAGGTGGTGTGTGCGCAGCAGTCCGTGCTGCACTGGGCAGCGTCTGAAAATAGGAGATGTTTGGGAGGTGTCAGGCACCTGGCTGCTCGCTTTAAGATTGTTTTCCTGAGGTGTTTTTGGTCGGGGTAATTATGAGTAAGTCTCACTGAGCCCACTCTGCGGCACCTTCCGTGCCAGGAGGTTGCACCTCTGCGGGAGTGAGGGGAGATCCCAGCCCTCGTCCGGCACGGGGGTGCTTCGGTGCCTCTGTGCCTGGACTTTGAAATGAGATCCACGTACAAATCTAAAGCTTGTCTGAGAAATAAGCTGGCAGAAAGGAACCCTTCGATGCTTAATTGTTTTATACTGTTTGGCTCTTAAAGAAAGCTATATTATGTAATTGGCTCTCTTAACAGGGTTTTTAACTAGCTGTGGTGGTGCTCGTGAGAGGCCGGGAAGTCAGCTTTAATATGATTTTAATATGTATAAAACATCTTGTTATTTTAAAAATAAAATGTTTCAATTAGCCATTATTGTGTTAAATGACTTAAACATCTCCCTGCTGATCTATAAACCCAAGCCATCCAGATCTGACGTAGCACTTGAGAACAAGAAACCCAAACTGACTGCGGGCTAGCCGTAAACCTGAAGAATGTAGGGATTTTATTCTGTTTCTTCACTTTGCTTTTAAAAACTGAAGGCCCCAGCTCCACACAGATGTAGTCATTAACTTAATTTTATGAACTATAAACAGTCCTAGTCCAGTCAGTCAACTGTGTACGCAGTGAATAACCTAAGCACACATTTAAGTGTTTACAGCACAGGGGCTAATGTGATATCATTAAGGGCATCTCTAATTTTGCAACAGATGCAGGGATTGCTTGAATTTAAACTAAAACGCAGGTGATAAGGACAAGTCATTGTTTTCTGTCTGAAGGTAGTTTAGCGCCCAGAAATGGGTAGTTCAGCTGTAGCTGCTGTTTCAGGTTGAAGGTATTAACTGAACTACCTACTTTTAAGTACCTACTTTTGACTTACCCTTTTATGTATATCCTGCCATTTGCAAACCACACTTGTTGCTTGCAGGGTAGTCCCAACACGGATAACAGCAGCTTCGTGTGCTCAGTTCCACATCCACGAGTGGTTACAGCAGTGCTGTGTGGTCAGCTTTGGTGTGATTCAAAGCCCAGCTTGGCTTTTCCGAAGCCCTGGACTGTGGGGTTTATGTCAATGGCAGCCTGGGGGCCTGTGCTCGCCGTCACTGAAGGACTGGGCTGTCACTCCCCGTGCTGAACCTGTGCATCAAAACCCTGTTTTGTACGTGTATGTGTTCACAGGTTTGTGTGTGACAGAGAAGGGCTGCATGCAGCGTCACATCACCATCGACACAGTGTCTATAAAAGCCACAGAGGTGCTCTCGCTCCGAAGGAAGGCCACGGCTCCAGAAGGGTATTGCAGGAGACTCCCCCATGCCACCAACGGGCTACTCCACTGATGGTTTTCTTGGGTGGTTGTTTTTTTTGGTTTTGGTTGGGTTTTGTTGTTGTTTTGTTTTGACAGCAGCTCCAGGTGGAAGGAGGGTTATAAATACACTGTCAACGAGGGAAAGCGAATTGCAGCTGTCTGGTAGCTGGGACAGCATTTTGGGGGGCTGGTGAACGAGCCCCTGATCCTACAGACCTTTGTAAGCCTTCCGTAGAGGACCGTTTGTAGAGGAGACACTGTTACAGGAAATATGTCCGGCCTGAAATCTGTCACCGTTTGCGTTTAGCTCCTGGTTTGCATTTCCAAGCATTGCTTCCCTTGCCTGGGGACTAGGCAAAATGAAAGCTGAAAGAAAAAAACAACAGCGACTAAAACCAAACCAAAATCAAACCAAAACCTCCTTTACAAGTCCCATTTATCTGAGAAAAGAGGAAGGCTCAGCATCCTTCCCGGTGCTCCCTTACTCACCGCTCGTGCCCTCCGTCGCTGTGTGCCCGCAGGGGAGCCCCGGCACCGACCTCCGGCTGTCTCCGAGCAGGATTTGAGGCTCCGGAGCAGCCGGGCTGCCTGCTCGGCCCGGGTGGCTGCAGCAAACCGCCCGGGGAGGGATGCGTGTGGCAGTGCTCGGTCCTTCAACCCGCAGCCCGGGGCACCCGTCGGGGCATCGCCGTCGGGGTGACGGCGCCGTGCCGGGAGCTGGCTGCGGGCTGCAAGGGGCAGGGAGCGCGCATTTGGTCCTTTTGCTCCTTGCTGTGGCTCAGGGGAGAAGGACGCCCCGAGAAGTCGCGTGGAAAAAGCAGCGGAAAAAATCTTTCCCCGTCCAAACGGGCAGCAGTCGGCGAGGGGAAAGCCCCCGGCCGGGGGAAGGGTTTGGGGGCGCTGAGCGGGCTCCTCTCCTCCTTCAGGGCGCGGCTTTCGCTGCCCCGAGCCCCGGCCGACGCGCAGCCAGCTGCCGGGATGCCCCAAGTGCAGAAGAGAGCAAAGGGAGGCTCCAAACGCTCCGCGTTTACAGAAAATAAAGATCGGGAGAGCTCCTGAACAGGGCAGAGGTATTGATAGGTTCTGAAACTAATGACGTACGTGCGTAAAAAAATGCTAAAAAGTGGGTAACTGTCGAAATAATTTGTATTTCTAACACTTCGATAGACTCTTTGCTTGGTGCGAGCAAAATAAACACTTCTTTTTTTCCTTTTAAGGAAAAAAGATGATTCCCTTCTAGCTGATGGAAAACGAAGTGCACACAATTTGGGGCCTGCAGAAACGTCCCTTTCGTCCCCAAACCCCGCCGAGCTCCGAGGTGATGCTGCTCGGGGCAGCGCGGCAGGGTGCAAAACCCCGTGTGTAAGAGCACAGGGAGTTAGGCGATTTCGGTCCTTTCAAGAATCACTGATAAAAAATACAAATCAAGCACCGCCCGATGTCCTCGTAGCAGCAGGATCTGCTCCGCAGCGGGTTTCTGCCGCTCGGGAGCGACGTCCCGCAGGCTGCGCCCCGGGCTGCGGATGCTCCCCTGGGCAAAGCAGGGGGATGCGGGGCTGGCGCTGAGCTGCGGGGCGCAGGGCGCTGAGGGAAGGGCAGCGAGGTGCGGCACGGGGAGGGGTGCTCGGCGGTGTGTGCTGTGTGTGTGCCGCTCCCGGAGGGGAGGCTGGGTCAGGCTGCTGTGGATGTGTCCGCTCGCTTGAACGGGCCCCAAATTCTCCCCCAGTTTACGCATGAATTATTCTTCTCGTTATTCACCAGCGGCCTCTTTTGCCTCGGCCGTTAGAAATCGGTACCTTGGCGTGAGAGTAGCTCCTGCTCTAAATAAAGACGGACAAAAAATACAGACAGACGGACGAGTGGCCGCGGAGGGAACCGGGCGGGTCCCGTCCCGGTGCGCTGAGCTCCGCCGAGCTCGGAGGGGTCGGTGCCGGTCGGTCCCGTCCCGTCCCTGCCCGCAGGGGACACGGCAGCGGCAGCCGGGGCCCTAAGGAGGGCAGGGACAGCGGCTTTCGGCGTTTGCGAGGACCGAGGGGCACGGCTGTGAGCTGAAGGGACACGGGGCAAGCAGCAAATCCAAGCGGAGCCGCCTGGTACAAGTGGCAGCGAGGGTATGGAACAGGTTACCTCGGGAAGCCCTAAAAGCACCGAGCAGAAACGAATTCAAGAAGCACCTGGCTTTGGGCGCATGCAATGAAAGGCGGAGGAAGGACGTGGCGGGGGCATTTTGGCCGCGGCCCCAGGACCGCGGGGAAACCCTCCCAACCTCTCCCCTTGCTCGCCGAGCGACCCCGCGGGGCCAGCCCGGGGGTCCCGGCAGCCCCGAGCCCCCCGAGAGCGCTGCGGGCGTCGGGGCCGGCCCCGGGTCGCCTCGGGCTCCGCGGCTGGGGAGAGGAGGGGGGGGGGAAGAGGACGGCGGCTCCTCCTCCGCTCAGCCCCGGGGGGAGCCGGCCCGGGGGGGCGGGCAGGTGGCGGGGCGGCGCCCGGGGACTGCCCCGGGGCCGGGGGCCGGGGGTCGGGGGGTCGGGGCCGCGCTGGAAGGGCCCGGCGCTTGTTTGGGTGTCTGCTGTCCCGCGGCGGGCAGGCAGAAACGTGGGTAATTTGCTTTCTATGGCAGGGGATCAAATGCTCTGCCCTAACCTCTCGCTTCCAGGTACTCGCCCGCCCCGGCCCCTTCCTTCCTCCGCGGCCCCTCCCGCGCCCTCCCCCGCCGCGCCGCCAGCCCCGCCGGGCCGGGCGCTATATAGGCGGCTGCCCCGCGGCCCGGGGCGGAGAAACGCTGCCCGGTGCCGCGCCCCGGTGCAGGCAGCGCTCGCGGCCCGGTGCCGAGCCGTTCGAGCTGGGGGGGCCGAGCCGAGCCCTGCCCGGGGGTAGGGTAGGGGTAGGGGCAGGGACAGGGCGGGGGGCGGCGGCGGGGCGATGGGCAGAGCCCCCCCTGCCCGGCTCCCAGCGGCGCCGGCCGGGGGGCTGCGCTAGGACGGCCCGGCGGAGCCTCGGCCCCGCGGCCGGGGCTCGCCCCCCCCCCTCCCCGGGGGCGGCGAGGATGCAGCACCCGCTGGAGCTGGGGGCCGCGCACTACTTCCCGGCCGAAGCCTTCCCCGACCACCGCTCGCACCGCTACCGCAGCTTCATGATCGAGGAGATCCTCACCGACCCCCCGGACGCCAAGGGCGCGGCGCCGGCCGGGGAGCTCCTCAAATTCGGGGTGCAGGCGCTGCTCTCGGCCCGGCCCTACCACAACCACCTAGGTACGTGCTGCCGCGGGGCCGGGCCGCCTCCGGGATCCGGGCTGCGAGCTCCGGGCACCGCGGCCCGAGGGGTCCCGGGGCCGGGGAGGGAGCAGGCTCCGGGCTGCGGCTCGCCGGGACCGCGCTGCATCGGGGCGCCGCTGGGCTCCCGGGGCTGGCGGGCAGAGAGCGGCTTCGAGCCGCTCCTCGGAAGCAAAGCCCGTTAATTTGGGCAGCGAGCAGCCGCCGGGCTCCCTGCACACCGGGCAGGCTCGAGGCCGGCGCCGCGGTGTAGCGCTTGGGGCCTAAAGCGGAGCTTTGCGCGGCTGCCACTGACGGGCCCGGGCAGAGAGCGGCTGCCCCGAGGATTTGGGGATTTTGGGGGTTCGGGTGAGGTGCAAGTGCCGGGGCCCTGCGCGGCGGGCACAGCCGGGGGGCTGCGGAGAGCCCCGCGGACACGGCGTCAGCTGGAAGCCCGATGGATGGACGGACAGACAGACAGGGCGATGGATGGAAAGCGCGATCTGTCCCCTCTGTTACAGTATCTAGGACAAATGCAGAACGTTAATGACATATCTCTCCTTTTTTTTTTTTTTCATTTTTTTCTGTTTTCTTTTTCTCTTTTTATTTTTTTTTTGGTCGTTGGTTTTTGTAAACTCGAGTTTTTCGGTGCGCTGCCAGAAGCTTTCGTTTCCAAAGCCGTCGCACCGCAGAAAGGCCGCTCTTTCACCCGTACAAACGAATGGAACGGGACCGTCCCGATTTCTTTTTTTTTTTTTTTTTTTTCCTTTTAAAAGAGAAAAGCATCGAGCCCCACAGCCAGGGAGCAACATAGATTAGGACACGCGGAAATCTGCGTTGCTTTAAGTACCGGTTTCAAGCACCGGCCCGGCTAAAACGCAGTTCGCAGGCTGCCGGGCGGCGAGACGCGGCTTCGAGCAGCAGCGGGGTTTCTGCTGCGGCCGAGGAGGAGGAACCCGCAGTGAAGTTCCTTACAGCCCACCCGTGGGGATTGCTGCCGAGTTTTTAGGGCCGGGGAGAGCCGCGGCGGCCCTGGCCCGGGGTCCGCGGGGGGCGACTCCGCACCCGGCGCGCCCGGGACCCGCTGGGGGCTGCGGGACCGGGCCGGGGCCCCCGGGCCCTGCAGGGCTCTCCCGGGGCCGAGAGGGGCCTGAGCCGCTCTGTGCCGGCCCTGGGGTGGGCTCGCAGCTCGGTGCCATCGAGGGAGCTCCCGGCCCTGCTCCCGAGCGCGTTTTCGCAGCCAAGCCGGGGGCTGTGGGTCCCGGAGGAAGATGCGATTGTTTGCGGGTTAAAATCGCGCTGCGGGGCCCGGGGGAAGATGCGATTCAGTTGTTCGGGGACTGAAATCGCGCTGAGGGGCTCCGGGCAGGGAACCCCGCGGGGGGCTGCCCGCCCGGCCCCGGCCTGCACGTCGGGGGCGAAGCCGAGCCGGCGGCTGCGGCAGCTGCTCGGGGGCATCGGCGGGGAGCGCTTGGGAATCGTTTGGGAATCGTTTTAAAGCGTTTCCACCTGTACGCCGGGAATCAGCCGGGAATCACCGGCTGCCGGCCGGAGGGCAAAGTGTGACCCCGCGTCCTCGGGGGGACGGGCGGGCCCGGGGGGGCTGCGTGCGGGCTCCCCGCGGGGTCTGCCCGGCTTTCACGGCCCCTCTCTCCCGCAGCCGTGCTGAAGGCGGAGCCGGCGGCCGTGTTCAAGTTCCCGCTGGCTCCCTTGGGCTGCTCGGGGCTGAGCTCGGCGCTGCTGGCCGCCGGCTCGGGGCTGCAGGGCGGCTCCGCCTCGCCCCATCTCCCGCTGGAGCTGCACCTCCGCGGCAAGCTGGAGCCGGGCCCCCCCGAGCCGGGCGGCAAGGCCAAGAAGGGGCGCCGCAGCCGCACCGTCTTCACCGAGCTGCAGCTCATGGGGCTTGAGAAGCGCTTCGAGAAGCAGAAATACCTCTCCACGCCCGACAGGTAGGGCAGGCCGGGCCCTCCGGAGCGGGGCAGGGCGCGGGGGGAGTTTGTGCTGGGGAGGGAGAGGAGCCGCGGGCCGGCCGGGCTGGGTCTCACCGCCTGTCTCTCTCCCGCAGAATAGACCTGGCCGAATCGCTGGGGCTCAGCCAGCTCCAGGTGAAAACCTGGTACCAGAACAGGCGCATGAAATGGAAGAAAATAGTAAGTGCCCGCCTCTGACCCTTCTGCGCGCCCCGCCGCGGTACGGGGGCAGCTCTGCCGCCTCGGCCTTCTGCATGCCCAGGGCAAAAATGCATGTGGCGGGGGGAAAAATAAGTTTTATTCTAATATTTAAACTGATATATTTGTGTGCCCGCGGTCTCTGAGGCCAGCATCATCCGGCCCGGGCCCTCCTGGTTTTGCTGCCGCCCCCGTCGGGCTGCTCGGCTCGGCTCGGCGCGGGGCCGCGGGAGGCTTCCCCCGAGCGGGGCCGCCCGAGAACCGCTTTTACTCGGCTGTCCCCCCCTGTGCTCCCTCCCCGCCTCGCAGGTGCTGCAGGGGGGCGGCCTGGAGTCCCCCACCAAACCCAAGGGCCGCCCCAAGAAGAACTCCATCCCCAGCAGCGAGCAGCTCTCGGAGCAGGAACGAGCCCGGGACGCCGAGAAGCCGCCCGAGAGCCTGGGCTCGCCGGCTGAGGTCAGCCAGGAGGAGTGACCGGCACGGCCCGGCCCCACCGCCGCCGGCCCCGAGCCGCTCCGCCCGGCCGGGAGCGCGGCCACCGAGCGCCGCCGCCGCCGCCGCCCCGGGCCGGGGTCCCCGGGAGGAGCCACCGGCCCCGCACCTCCCCGCTCCGCCGGCAGCGACCCAGGGGGAAGAGGGCTGGAAGGGGGGAACCAAGCGGTTCGTGGACTGCTGTCGCCTTGGGTTTCCGACGAATCCAGCGTTTGGCCCGGCCGCGTCCCTGGCCCCAGCCCCGCCGCTCCTCTCCGCGCCCGCGGGGCGCTGCGCCCCGGCCCCCGCTGTGCGACGGCCCCGAGGGGCCAGGAGGAGGACACTGGACCCCACCTTCACGTCCGCTCGCTGTCTGAAACCCTGTGGTGCCCCTAGTTACTCGAAAACTGCATTTTACGATCAGTTTTATTAATGCGAAGATATTTACTTTATTTCAATAAAGTATTTTATGAACTATTGCTCTGAGTAGCGTCATGCTTTTCCTATTTTTTTCCTATTTTTGCTATTTATTTTTTTTTCTTTCTTTCCCTCGGCAGCAGTTAATCTGTCCGAGATTCAGACGCGAGGCCCGAGGCCGCCTGTCCCGGTCGAGGGCAGCACCCCCGGGTTTGCTGGAGCGCAGCGGGGCAGGAGCGAGGCGATGCTTTCGCACTGTACAAACAGGGAACGAAGCGCTGCTGGTTGGAGCGGCTTTGGGGCTCAGCACGCCGGGTACGGGACCCTCTCGGCTCCCCAGCCCCGGCTCCTTGCCCGCCTCTGCCTCGGGTCACGGCCCCTTTCCCGAGGCTCTTTGCTAATTGCGGCGACGTAGCAAGAAACGGTGGCTTTTTTTTTTTTTTTTTTTCCCTTTTCGGTCTTCGCTGTACTTTTTCCATTGAGGTATCAAATTATAGAGCATCTACAGAGACGTGCAATTATCATCATCGTGAAAAAAAAGAAAAAAAAAAAAGAAAAAGAAAAGAAAAAAAAGGCCCACCAAAACCCAGAAGCGTCGCAGGAAGCGGCGAGCTGAGCCCCAGCGGCGGGGTGCTAATTGGCCGGGCCTCCCAATTAATTAAAGGCGGTGATTAATGCAAGGCTGATGAAGGGAGGTCCTGCAGCGGGTGCAGGGTACCGCTGCCTCTCGTCCCGTCGGGGGCTGTGCCCCGGGGCCGCGGGGAGGGCCGCTTCCACGGCGGGGCCGGGTCCCCAGTGCCGTGCCGTGCCCTGCCGGTCCCAGCGGGTCCGTGCCGGGTAACCGAGCCCGCACCGAGCTCCAACTTTCGGTAATGCCGCCGTTTCTCGTTAAACGGCACGACGGTGGGGCAGGAGCGGTGCTGAAGGCATCGACGTGCCGTAAAAAGCCCTAAACAGCCCTAAAAAAATAAAAGCAGCCCCGGGTCCCTCTCGGCCGGTTCTCCGCTGAGGCCCGGCCCGGTGGGGGCTGCGGGCGGCTCCTGCTCGCGGAGCCGTGCCCGGGGTTAAATAAACCCGGGATGAGCGATGGAGTGTTTGTAAGCACGGGACGCGGCCCGTGCCGAGCAAACAGGAAGCCAGCTCATATTCTTCTGCTAAAATGACTTCTGGATTTAAACAAACAAATAGTTCGAGCTGTTTTATTTAACCTGGGGATGGGGATTAGGGCTGGGCAGGGCGAGCACGGCGGTTTCGAGGAGGGCTGCCCGCCGAGGGGCCGCCCGGCGCGGAGCTTGGGCTTTGTCCCCCGCGGCTTTCGGCTCCCGGCGGTTGGCTCCGGCCGCCCCACAGCGCCTGGAAGGAGCAGCCGCTCTTAATTAGGAGGTAGATTCGCGGGTGCGTTTACCTAAATTACCGGGATGACGAGCGGTGTTGAGCAGAGCTTCGGAAGCGGCTGGGGTCAGTTCATTGCTGTTACAGCCGCGATGCAACCTCCGGACCGTAATAACCTCCCTACCGTAGTCCCCAAGCAAACCCACGGACAGCGAGATTTTCTTTCCCCATCTGAGGAAGTGGCGCACAAGTGATTGTTTTTCACAGACCATGAATGAGAAAACGTATTTTACTCTTCCCTTGCAGACAAGGCGGAGGGAAGGCAGGAGCGGCTCCCTGGCGGGGCCGCGGCCCTTCCCGGGGCTCCCGGGGCTGGGCTCGCCTCGGCCGCCGCCGCCCGGCTCCGGTGCCCTCTGGTGCCCGCCGGCTCCGGGGGTCTCCCCCCGGGGGTCTCGCAGCGGCTCCTCCGCGGAACCCGGGGGATGCCTCTCTCTCCCTTTCCGGTGGACCACGACACGAGAAGCCTCGGCGGAACCGGTAGCAGATGCCCGGGAGCCGCCTCCTGCGAGGAACGGAGGCGCCCGGAGCCCCCCAGCCTCAGCCCCCCGGGCAGGGCACGGCCGGGCGGCCCCGGGATGCGCTCACCGTGTTTGTAAGCAAAGGGCGAGGAGGATTTTGGATACGTAAACACGGTGTGAATGAAAACCTTGTATCTCCAGCGCTGTGCTGTGACCTCGACATTAACGGGCTCCATGTTTGGAGCCGCTTGCCGATAAACGTTTTTTTTTTTTTTTTTTTAGTAGTAACGACTTTAATTACAAACTTTCCTTTTGGAAGGAGCTGCTCACACCACGGCTTATGTGTGTGCTGACTGACTGCCCCCAGGGCATCTGCACCGATGCGAAAAAAAAAAAAAAATCCTCTTAATCACACGGCAAGTCAGAAGAAAACGAAAATGTGCTTGATTTGTTTTTTCCTTGTAAAATACTTCTTTAGTTCGGCGTGGGTTCTTGCTCTCTTGATGAGTTCCCCCGTTGTTTCGGTCAAGGCCCGGCCTGGCGGGTGCCGCCTCCCCTCGCACAGAGCCCGGGGGCAGCGCTGCGCCATGGCCATTGGGGCTCGGGGCTCGCCCCGGTGACGCCGGCCGGAGGCTGAGCGGCCGGGAGGAGAGCACAGCGAGCCTCGGCAGCACGCTGCTTTGGTGCTAACATATCGATTTTCAGCTCGGTGCAATCGCTTTTCATTTTTTTTTTTTCCTTTTCGATTGCCTCCTGCAGCAGGGATGCAGCACGGGTACCCGCGTTCGCGGCGCTTCAACAGCAGAGCCGTGTGTGCGGGGACCTGCAGCGCTGCCCGACGGCAGCCCTGGAGAAATTGGGGACGAATTTGTCCGGAGCTGGGGCCACCTGGAGCCGGGGACGACGACGATCTCCCCCCGTCGAAGCACCTCGCAGCGCTGCCCCTGCCCTGCGCCGTGTGCCCGTGGCCGGCTAAGGGCAGGCGGGACTCGCCCCCCTGATGTTCCTTCTCCTCCCCGTGTCAAAAAAACTCTATTTTTGTAGCACATTTATTCTGGCATAAACGCATCCGCGCTTGGGAGCTCTGCCGTTCGCATTACAGCAGCAGAGGTAACGCGCGGCTCTTCTCTGTGTAAGCAGAGCAGAAGGGGGTGGGTTGAAGGCTGGGAAAGCCCCATCGAAAGTGGGCTCTTCCCGTGTTTCAGTGCTCATCCCGTCCCAGTCAATGGGCTAACGGGGTGATGGTTTCCTTAACAAAAGGCCGTTTGGGTGCGTTTCCAACTCAAACATCCTAAACTCGCTTTTCCCGAAGCATCTCGGGGAAACTCCAGGCAGGTCCTGCTCTTGCAGCAAAGCCCGCCCAAAAACAGCCCCGCGGAGCCGCGGCGCTTTGAGACTCCTGACGTTACTCCGGTTTTACACCGAGGCAAAAGTTTCCTGACGTTGCTCCGGTTTTACCCCGGGTACCGCTTTTGAAGAAGATGCTGCGCCCCGGGCGTCGTCGAGGCGGGTGTGAGGGCAGCGTTTGGGAGAAAAATCTAACGAAGACATCAGCTCGAGCTAGGTCAAGCTGCAAATCGTTAACCGGCAGGCGAGGTGTGGCTGTTAGAGGTCTGACTCGGTCCAAGCGGTTGGCCCGAGGTCGTGGCAGTGCTCGCTGCCGTGATGATGATGATGGTGATGCGTGAAGGCGAGCAGCGAGGCCCGCAGCAGCAGCGTGTGGATGGAGGGAGGCAGCGCCGGGGCTCGGCGAGCATCGTGCCAGGGCCCTGGGGCTGCCGGCTCCGCTTGGCCGGGCCTTCCCCTCACACCCATCGGGAACGTGCAGAGCTCAGGCTCCGGCTGTGTTCGGGACGGATCCTTCGGTGGAGTCAGCGATGGCCGTCGTGTCAGCAGCCAGGGGCTCCGTGGCGTAATGAACAAATCCGTGCGAGTAAGCCCTCAGCCACGCAACCCCGTGCTGATGGAAAAAAGACCAAGTCGCAGCCCTGGATGGTTTCAGCAGTTTACAAACACAGTCCATTAAAACATGATTATGTACAAAATGGGTTCTCTCCATGCAAGATCCTTGTATCCATTGTTTATGTTGCACCTATAGTAACAAACCACAGAATAAGCTTGTAGCATCTCTAAAACAGATTTCTTTTTCTTTCTTTCCTCTCTCTCTCTCTTTCTCTTTTTTTTTTTTTTTTTTTTTTTTTTTTAGGCTGGGAATGTGGAAACTTTTCTGGATTGAAATGGCATGTAAGTTCAAACAATATAAGAAGACTGATTTGTGTCTAAAGCTCGAGCATTAGCTAGAATTAAAACATTTAATTTTTTTCAACACTTTTTTTTTTTTCTTTCCAGATAATTAATTCAAAGAGTGTGAGGCGGTGTAAATTCAGTCTCTGAGCATGGACTGAAGTTGGTGAATTATATTTAAGTAGAGGGTACTGCTCAAGGAGGAAACCCTGAGCTAGTGTTGTAAGGAGTGCCTGCTGAGTTCGAGTACAGATAGCCTCAAAACAGTACATCCACTTCATTCATACTCAAAAATTACTCAAGCATGACTTGCAGTGAAAAAAAGTATGCAAAAAGACATTAATTTATGACGAGTGTTCCCAGCCTGTTTCATAACTGATAGCCTGATAACCTTCTTGTGCAGAGTCCCTCAACCTCAGAGACAGTCCACGAGGATGAAGAAAATCAAGAGGGAACAGAGCTGTGAAGAGAACAGGCAGATGTGCGGTGGTTATTCATACGCTGAGAACTGCGTGTGTGACAAGAACTTTGATGCTTTTCCAAAAACACGATATTGCAATAATTAGGAGAGTCACCCAAACCCTTCTCCAGGCATTCTTATGTGAATTACAGAACTGCTCTCCAACTCCTAAACTTGCACTTTATGTAGTATGAATGTTGTATCATTTATACGTGCATAAATTTACGTATGGAAGTTTATGTAACCAAAATGCTGTTCTAACTGGCTGACAAGGAAATTACCCCCAAAATACAATTTTTTCACCGCAGTAAGTCCTGTGAGTGCAAAGCTGGCTGTTCAGTTGGAACTAACAGGCTTTTCCTTCTCTCCTGCTCCACTGACTGCTAGGTCTTGGAGCGATTCCACCTGATCAGATGCTGATATAGACATATTTTGTGAGGTATTTACTGAAGATTAACCATAAGCATTTAAGAATTTATTAACATAAACCCCAAGTAATTTTGAATGC